GGAGGACAGTTTAAGAAACAGTCTTGGACTTGTGAGCTACATAAATTAACTACCGGATAAATTATCCATCCCCCTCAAAGTAGACAAAAAACACGGAAAGGTCAATAAGATGCTTGAGTGGGTGTTAGGACTGCACACACACACACACACACGCACTACCAACAACTATTTACATGCTTAATATGTGTGCATTTCATATTCCACTGCTGAAATTAATTATTGAGGCAGAACTAAGCAAATGTTTGGGAGCATGTGCTCAGAACCAGAAGGCTGTCTCCAATCCAATCAGGGAAAAGTCATGATGTAATGGGGGGGGGGGGGTTTAGGAAAAGAGCACTCTGCTCGGCTAACAACTACTGCATCATTAAAGTGCCACAGAACCACAATCGGCACCTCTCAGTGCAAGCGACTGTTCTGTTTGAGGGGGGATTTAATATTTTAACTTCCTATTCTGAGGACAACAAACTCATTCAAGGCCTTGTCATGTTTCAGGGTTCAAAGGTGGTCTTGGCCCACATCGTTTTAATAAATCTTTTCACAGCAGACATTTTAACTTCCTATAGAAGGAACGACACGTTAACGATGACAGCCAACCCAGGACCAGGACCTCGAACCTGAAGCAGCAAAATAGAGCTCAGCCATCGTTTATTGTATTATTTACACCTGTGTGTCTCCTGCTGTGACATGTCAAAATGTCTGCTGTGACTAAAGTCTATCTTTAGATTTATGTGGGCCCCAAGGTACCGAAAAAAGGTTGTAACATTTATAAAGTTCAGAATGTCACAAGCAATAACAAAATTCATCGCAAGTTTACAAGAGCCCAAAGTCACAGAAAGTGGATCAGCAGCATTTCCATACAATTTAAATTATTGTTATGATATATCTACTAAAAGAAATAGCTGACAAATAGTAAACGCCACCCTATGAAATACTATGCACTGGTCTGACTACTGATTTCGACACCATCGCTCTCTTTGCAGTGGTTTTAAAATCGGTGTAAGGCTAAAAATAAAATGTGACTGACTTTTCCTCCCCAGAGGGGAAATTAACTTGTTACAGTAGTAAAAAGAAACCTGTCACAAGGTGGAAGTCATGCACTAGAGGAAGGAACGCATGCAGTCGCGGCAGACAGGGACAATTCAATGGTACAATGACAAAAGTGACGAAATATAGAGGCTTCCTGGTGAGGGTAGCAAGTCAAAACACTGAGGACCTACTGTCAAACCAGAACGAGGCAGGGAAAATGAGCAACACGGATAACTGGTAACTGACTGAAGGAAAGGAGCTGAGATATGTACTGCAGGGCTGATAAGGGAAAGTGGGAACAGGTGTGTAGATGGGCGGAAAGTCTGAGGGCATCTGGCTATACTGTCATAATGTTGTGATGAAGTGTTGATTCAATTTTATGATCATTTTGGAGGAAGTAGTTTGTACCACGGTTGAACTGAGTTATACTGATGAGTCATATAGTCACTTAGTAAATAAATGCATTATGTAGTAAAAAAAAGTAATGAGTCTAGAGGTGGAAATTACAAATCACTTGCTAACTTAAACGCCTTTTACGCCTTTAGTTCAGTTTAAAGATTAAAAGTCAGTGACTTTGCAGTTTGGTCTCTTTATTTTTCTAAGCTAAATGATCGCATCCATTCAATGGTAGTTCAGTATACTGTATGTGCAGCAGGAAGTGAACACATCACAGTGACATACATAGGTCCAGTTTCGTACAAGTGCAGGACCATCTATTTGTGAAAACCAGTGAAACAACGATAATGTGTGAACTGTCCCAGTCGTTTGATAAGCTTTAAATGAGGATCATTTAAAGCTTATCAACTGAATCAACTGAATCACAGCTGAGCTGACAGCGAGGCTCTCAGTCACCAGGGAGGGGAGCCTCACTGCTAAATGCTACGGATTCGTTCAGTGACAAACAACGATTCAGAATACTCACTTCACTTTGAAGATTCGCTCGTACCGTACATGCACTGAACACCTCAGGTCTGCCGGGCTTATTGAGTTAGAACTGGGACTCATGAAGAGTCACACTGATGTTTGAATCATTCTTATATAAGTTAACACGAGGCTGTAACTCGACTGAGCAGCTTTTCTTCAGAATAAAAGACAAAAGCAAAAGACATTGAATCGAAGATAGAGTGTACAGATTGTAAAACCCTTTAGAGGTAAACTTGTGATTTTGATAAATAGAAAGAACTTGACATAAAGTTGAGACACAGCATAAGCGTGAAAAACTAAATAATAAATTATGCAAATACAAAACACTAAACAAAGGTGAGTGTAAACCGTTATGGTCTTGAGCTGCATTTTAAAAACTATTTGCAGTTTATGAGCCACCTTTAGTCTCCTTTAGTGTAGGCAGGTGCCTGACTACTCGAGTCATCTAATAACTGGGTTGATCCAGACTAATATCACTACTTCAAACTGCATAAAGGCTTCCAGTAGTTTTACTATCAATGGGTTCCTGAGAACATTTACAAAATTGCCCATAAGTAGAAAATATCACCTCAAAGCTACTTCAGTGCAGCTGCTATGCTCTTTGGTGTCAATGTGTATGATTGTGTGTATTTATGTTCCCCCACCCAAAAATATATCGATCTTCTGAGACATCTCTGCTGGTTAAATCAAGGTAAGAACCATTTGGCGCTGTAATATATATATATAAGAGGGTCTACAACCAGAGATGTCCAGCGAAGATAAGCATGAATCTTCTTGGCGAAAGATAAAATACCATTCATTAAACTCAATCCAATCTATTCAGTGAGGCGGCTGTGTGGAATGATCAATGTTCGACTCCAAATTAAAAACCATGTCTGATGCCAGTGACCGTTGGCAGCGGTGTCTGGGTGCGACAGTAGCAACAGCAAGCTTTTTATGGCAGAGACATTACAGACTCTACTTTTTGCTGCAGAGAAAACTTACACGAGCATCCGTCACGTGGACATATACAATGTCGGTGGACTGTATAAAAAAATGTCTTTGACCAGCTTCACTGCATCACTCTCCACACCTCCTCTCAACAAGGGTCTCATTTCAAAAAGGACATTGCTGCACAATAACACCTTTGCTTTGGGAGTAAAAAATGATAATAAAAAGATGAAAAGGTAGATGTAAACATTTACTCAGAGCTGTGGGGATTCAAAAGAATAACTAAAAAGCCCAAAAGAATGTATGATCAGGACTTGTCGGCACAGATTGAAAACGTACTTTACAGGCAGACTGATAAACACACCCTGATGGTGTCATCGTAAAACAAGAAAAAGAAGATTCAATCGTAGAGGTGTATTCCAGACTTTGTTTGACACATGCTCTGGGAATAAAAGACGAACATGTTCACCCAACGACATGTACTGTGAGGTATTTACACCAGAGAAGGTTCTGATTGAAACCAAGAGCATCCACAGACAAAATCACAGCAGGTTTCCCCAGTTTTCCCGAAAACTAACCTAGAAAAATGTGTTTTCCTCCCGTTGGCTCAGAGGTTTGCTCTCTCTTTGCTGTCGGGATTTCATCATTCTTTAAATAGATAGTCCTATGATTTATACAGTGAGTGTTGTCTGCACGCCACTATGAATGAACTGTGTTATTTAAAAAATAAAAAAATAAAAGAAATGTTAAAGGAAGAGAAGGCTTGTGATATTCTATATTTTTCTTATTGTAAAAAAATAATAATGAATAGACCAAAACCAACAATGTGTTGAACAACGTGTTAATCTGCTTCACAATACTTTCCTGTCTGTGACTCTTTATCCCCAAATCCTTTTTTGAAGACGAAAATCTTTCTTCTTTTTAAAGCAATCATTTCCTAAAACACGGGCACATTGTACTTTTTAGCAAACGTTACTTAAACAGGATTAAATGGGGCATTTGTTGTGGACTATTTTCAGCGGCGGATTTGGTGCCCAAGTAAGCATTTCAGTAAGAAGGACTGTGTATGTGGGATCCACTCAGAATAAACAGTGCCCACATGTTCATAGTGGTTTATTGATGTGAGAAATCTGCATAATTGGTGTCTATTTTGACTTTTTCTGGTAACGAAAACAGTAATTAATTTTTTGGTTTCAACTGACAATGTCTGACTAGCTTTATCTTGGTATACAAACAGAACAGCATGGCTCATCCTCCCAAATACTGAATGTAAAGGGACGAACTTCTTAGACGGCTTTAGCAAGTAATCAACCAGTTGTAAATGTCTAACCTGACGTTACTGAGTTCAGCAACAATGTGCTGTGTGGACGAGTGAGGTTTGGAGGCCTGCGTCTATTTATGTGCTGCTTTCTTGTCTAGAAAGGCACAACATATACGTACTGGTGGGTCAAACAGTTGGCTTGTCACGGCTAGCTAGCTTGTAAACCAAGTGCTCTATTTCATTGTATATAACTCTTGTTTTATGTGTAAAATGCAATACATCTTGTTACACTATTCAATAGCATTTTAATAAGCAGTACGTTCATACAGAGGCTATATTGACATTAATTATTCTATTTATGTGCAGTGCTACACTAAACTACCTACCCGTCAGACTGTTACATGGGCTTGTTAAAAAAGAAATGTCTTGTATCAGCATTTGCAACCTTTACAGGTCTGTGACGCGTTTCTTACTCTGAGCAACGACAGCTCTCAAATGTCAGTAAAACTGTTGCTGTGGGAAAAACCATCCATGAGCCAGAAGCTTGGACGCTGTTCACACAAATATGTCAAAAAAGAGGCTCTATCCTTTTTGGATAATGGGAAACAATGTGCACAATAGCTGCAGTGTCATTATAGATTTCATTTCACAGAAAGTTTTAAAAATTAAAATGTTGGTTTTTAATTAATAACCGGGATAAGAGGAACGTGCTATATCAGGCTTTGGCTACACAGACGACACTTGTTACTGAAGCAGGATGAATTCATTGTTGGTTTTGGTCTTTAACAGGATTTGTTGGCAAATACTAAACTCATCCTTTAATCAAGATTGGATCAAATCGTCTTGGGAGACAACTTACCACTTTGAAGTCCTCCGCTCTGCACTCAGTGCCGTGGAAGTGGCAGGCCAGCAGCATGTCGTTGATGTCGTGGCCGGTTCGGTCGTAGAATTCCCGCATGTTGAAGGGTCGCGGTTTGAAATTATGAAAATCGGCTTTAACCTTTAGGCTCTCCAGGACACTCTCCTCCACAAGATGTATGTCCCTGATCTCATACCTGGAATAAATCGACAGACAGAAAGAAAAGTCAAAGAAGTATTTCATACATTTTAAGTGCAGATTTTATGAAGGTAGGTATGGATGGAGGAACAGGACTTTGCAGTGAATGATCACTGACGATAAAGTAGACTTCATATATTTGCACACTTCAGGAAGGTTTATGAGTCTTCATCTCAACCGTTCCCCCTCTGAACCAAAGCTAAAAATAATAGAGTCCACGATGAATCACAAGAGACAGACAACCGAGGAACAATATATAGCTGGTTTTCTGGTGCATTTTCAGGCTCTGAACCGATGGCACTACCAGAGTGTAACGCTTTATCGTACAGTAGATAATAAAGTACAGACAAGAGCTGTGCGGGCCCATAAAGACAGTCGTCCATTCACTGTCGATGCAGGAACTTCAGGCCACACTTCAACTCCATTCTCACTTAACTGGATTCAAACTTGGAGAAAAATGTGTTTGTGTTAATTGGAATTGTATTTCCTGGTCTTACAGTAACAGTGATACAATGTTCTGAACATATTAGCTCGTCCAATGAAATAAAGAATGAATGTTCTCATGTTTCATCATATATGTATTGCTAATAGTACGTTGAGTTCTCAAAGGTTTTCTTGCATGGTAACAGCTAAGCCCCAGATATCACCACATACGTAGCTTACACTGTGATTTTTCATTTTGTCTGCATTACTAGCCCTAGTCTTTTTTAAACTACATTAGGAATAAAAGGCCTGCAAGTAACTGAGTGGGGAGCCAGACAGCCCACATCAAACACAGCATTTTCAGTGGCACTAAGAAATTTCCTTTCATTTAATGGAGCTCACAGAAATCTGACCACGCTGCCTCGTATCAAAAAAGAGCAGACCCGCTGTAAATGCACCCAGCCTCTATACCCTGGCTGTGATCCCCCCATTGAGCTATTATTAAAAATGTCACCATCTTAATGGACTCACCAAAGAGCAAATTGAGTGGAGTTTTTTTTTTTCCAGAACACTGCCTCAAATGAAAATTTCTCATATGGATGTGGCCACTCTTGTGTGGATATGGTCTTTCATTGATCTTTTGTGTGACTGACTATTACTGCACCTAATATGTTTTTACGGATTACATTAATACAAATGAGATGCTCTCTTATTTAAGGAAGAGCTTGTAATGTATGATGTATTAGGTACCTGGAACCTTTCAAGCATCAAATCAATAATAAATAACCTCATTCAAGTTTAGAAATTAGTTCAGGGATTATTTTCGTGACATTAAGATTGAATTAGGCCTCATTATGGCAGAGCAGTGGAGTGTTTCTGTTTGATTCAAAGAGAACTCAATTCAGGACAGCCACTCGCTTCCCCCACTGTTGTTGTGTTGTGGAAAAACCCGCCCAGAAGGCACTTATGAGTTAAAATCCCATGAGAACGAGCCGCCGGGATCGGCGAAGGCTCGCACTTCAGGATGTGTGCAGCTTAAATATCATGCCACAAGACATTTCCCAGACCAATGACTCCAAACATGGGAAGTGGGCGGAGAACAGTCTTAAATGGATTTCAAGCCACAAGCACTTTAATTTCTGGCCGGGGGTATAACAGCTAAGTGTGCCGTTGCATCACCTCTATGCCTTGCCAAGGGAGGCAGGATAATGAGCACTAAACCTACTGCAGAGTGTAAGAGTTGAGATCAGTACACGGAGAAGGAAACTCAGTCACAGTTATGCTTCGGTCTCAAACTCTGCAAAGTCTTTCATGTGAACTGCTGCCTGGAAATGCGATATTATGAGATGGCAAGTGTTGATCATCAGTGACACCAACGTCACAGAAAAAAAGAGCTAATTTTAGTGTTCATTCTGGGATCTTCATTAAAGATTTAGGATAGAAGTTGGCTGCACATCCACATAAAAGTGAAGCCATCAGAGGCCTTCAGCGCTGTATGCTGAGCCCTCACCTTGATCTCTTTAACTGACAGCCTGTCAGAGGTTCAAATCATCGGAGCCTTTCCCCTTTTTTTTGAGTTATTGATCACTCAGATGACAGACACTGGTCACTAAACGTGGCAAATAACGATATCTTGCTGTTTTGTTTCATTTTGGCTGCTCTTGTTGACATTTGGAACAATATTACAACACCACATAGAGCAACATCTTTCAAACAACTTTCAAAGCCACTCTCTCCATGAGATCTTTCCTCTTTCTCTGCTCCTTGGACAGACCTGTGCAACCATCTTCATCCACGTAAACTATCCAGAGAAGTTACCTTTTTTTGACTGCACAGAAACAAAGTGGATTTACTGTGAAGGAGTGGAGTTGTCTTCGGCTCTGTTAAAATCACAGAAACATGAGGATTTAAATGCATAGCTGACAAAGATACCCAGAGCATCAGTCATTTCACTTGTAATCAAAGGAAGCTGACTCTCTGCTTCTTTTCCTCATGTGCATATGTGGTTGCCAGCTCCAGCATCCGGAGCCCTCAGCTGCACCGACAAGACGGCTGCCGTTCTCCGATTATAGCGCCTCAGTAAATTCAAGCCTGACAAGCACTGAGAGACTCAACAAGGTAGAAACCATTAGAGCTTGACACAATTGCCAGAGGATGAAGTATTCAGATCATTTACCTAAAGTTTGGGAAGGTTATATTGGAGAAACCAACACTAGTACGCTAGATTTGAAAAATGATCCACTAAAAAAACCCAGCCTAGTGTTGCTAACTCTTTTCCAATGAAAGTAGCTAGAAGGTTCAAGGTTCAGAGATCATTTATGGTCATTCTGCAACCAGACGGCAACCTCCGGTTCTGCCCAGTGAAGCCAATGCGGAAGTGTCTTAAAACTTTCTCTACTGAACAGCAGGGGGCGACTCCTCTGGTTTCAAAAAGAAGTCTGATTGTATAGAAGTCTATGAGAAAATATCTCTACTTCTCACTTGATGTATTACCTCAGTAAACATCTTAAATATGAGTTTATGGTCTCAATCACTAGTTTAAAGTCTTCTTCAATACAGCATGATGTTCATTGAGTAAATTATGGTCCATTTAGTGTCAAACAGACCATAATTTACTGACAATTTCAACAAGTATAACAAAAGATGTTTTTTTAAATTACCGTACCTATAGCTTTAGGTAAAAGTAGAAATACAAAATATTCCTACTAGTAAAAGTCCTGCATTGGAAATATAACTTTAAAGTATTCAAGAATCATTAGCAAAATGTACATAAATAATGAAAATGCAGAAAAGTGGCCCCTGTGAGTGTTATTGCTTATGCAGTTATGTGTAAGCAGCATTTTACTGTTGTAGCTGGTCGACAATTTTGCATTAACAGATACATTAGTAGCAGCATTTTACAAGAACATTGTAGGTTTTGTGTCTCAATCTTAATATGCAAAGTATCTCGTATATAGCTGCCAAATACATCTGATAGTGGTGAAAAAAGTTCAATATTTCCTTCTGAACTGTAGTGGAGTGGAAGTGGCAAAAAAATGGAACCACAGTAAATGCACCTGAAGTTTGAACTCAAGTGCAGTACTTGAGTAAGTTACATTCCACTACTGATATTTGCAATATGAAACTAATTTATGTATTCCCATTAACGGGGGGAAAGGGTGGAGGGTGGAATACATTATTTGATATTAAGGGAAAACAACATACAGATAATAAAGAATACAGTAGAATGTAGAAACTTTTGAAGTGGTCGTACCTCTGGTTGAGCAGGGCCAGCAGCTCCCCTGCGTGGTACAGGTCATTGCGCGACACCCGGCTGAACCGAAACGCGTTCAGGTTGCAAAAGGTGACCGCGGGGAACGTCATGATCGGGGTCGTGACCTCATCCAGTTTGGTGACGTGCGGGTACTCGAGGTAGAAGTGGATCCGGTCCACGCACACGAACAGCAAGAAGGTCAGAGACCCCAAGAAAAACACGACCCACAGGCAGCGTTTGACGCAGAACCGCTCGTATGTAAAAATGTGAGAGATCCCGTGCAGAGTCGAGCTGTGCGCAAAAACTTCGATGGGTGGAGGTTGATTTGTGTCCATTTCTTCGGTTTCCACTTTGAGATCCATCGTCACCGTGCAACAAGCTCGATCTGAATGCCAGAGTCGCAAAAACAGCTTCAAAACACTCGCTGCTGAGAGAAACCGAGCCGATATTCATTCACCTGTGGCATAAGCTGTCATTATCCATCCGAACATGTGCGAACGTGAAGATAACCACTCTTGGACTTGGCGCGGTTTGGTCGCCATCCCTCACGCAGACAGATGGAGAAACATTTTGATCATCCGCCACTCTTTTATGAAAAACTAAAGTCAGACGGGCGGGAATCGCGAGCAGAAGTGATGCATTTCACGAGAGCAGGGCGATTGAAAAAGCACGCACAACCCAAATGTCTATAGGAAGATCTATCACTGCTGCGCTACGGTGATGGTTTGCAGGTTTCTCACGGGGGTGCAGTAAAGCAAAGAAAGAAAAAGAGGATTGACAAAGTGTTTCATCAGCCTGCGAATTCGCTGGTCGAGTCCAGTGAAGCACGCACCATTGCTCCACGCCAACAAGAGGAGACCCGGAGACCGAAAAGAGAAAGAATCCTTTTTGACACTCCGGCTCATTTATTAAGAGTTCCTCTGTAGCTGGCCTTTACGCGTGTCCTTTCAAATCCGCAGATTCTCAGGTCCAGTCAGGAGATGTTCTCCACTCTGGAATTAGGAAGAAAAAAAAAAACGTGTTTGGGAGTCAAGGCGGTTGGTTATTCTGGTCGGTGGAGAGTCGTGAGCTTTTTTTTTCCTCCGCTCGTGTTTGTGTCTGCCTGCCTGGCAGCAGCGGCAGTGGACGGGAGAGAAGAGGAGAGAAGAGGAGGGTGGACTGACGCGCTACTGTTCACCTGCGAGTTACTGTAGTTTCACAGCTTAACCGCAGCCCGAGTAAAAACAGAGAGAGAGAGAGAGAGAGAGAGAGAGAGGAGGAGAGAGAGAGGGGGGGGGGGGGGGCACCAAGTGGAATGAATTTGAGCAATAGGTGCATTAAAGGGGAACAACTGCAATTTAGTATCAGGCTTCCATAAAATTGGGGTGTCATGAGAGATGGATTAAAGGGAGAAAGGGCAAAATCGAAGCTGCAGAGGCCCCAAATATCCTGACTTTATATGAGGCAAACTCATAACGTCTTTCAGCAAAAGGGCATTAGGCCACTGGCCTCTGTTCTTCTGTGCAGTCTCTCATTTAGCATTTCGTTCACCTGTCTTTGGAGCGTGTAATTGAAGTTGCATTGCAGGAGACATTGGTTCAACAGGCTGCTCCTGACAGGACAATTAGACTGAACTTTGAGTGTAAAACTGGTGCAGTGTCCTTTAACCACATACAGCCGGAGTGACCACTATACCCGGCCACTGAGACTGGCGGACCGGACAAATCTGGCAACTCAGAGTAAAACAGACTGTGTCAACGTATGCCAACAGGGAGAGATGGAGGGAGAGCAACACTTCCCTGCAGCCAATAAAGTAGAAAGACATGAAATAAAACTCAAATACCAAGGACTCAACACACTCACAGACCAAAATATAATCCAGTATTTAGACAGGGGTAAAAAAAATATTTCCTGAGTGAAAAACAACACATGAAACTGTACGGAACTCTTTCAAAGTCTGCCTCAATGATTAGATTTATACGGTTTACATCATTATTATTGCATTATTTAACAGCTTACAACATATACGGCTGCCACTGAGAATTATATTCATTATTGATTAATCTGATTATATTCTCAATTCATTGGTTGGTCTATAAAACAACTAAATCAAATCTAGAAAAATGTCTATACAGTTAAAGCAAGAGCCCAAGTTGACATATTTAAATCACTTGTTTTGTGTGACCAACCGTCCCAAATGCAAAGATAGACCGTTAAATTTATAGACTAAAACAAATTGACATAAATGACAGATCAATTTAGTTTCTTTCCCAATAGTATACCATGTGGAACAGTAATGTTGTTATGTCAATGTGTGTTGTGTAATTAGTGTATCTGTCATGACTTTGCTCACATTCTGAATTCATTCAATTCAGACTTGAAATAGAGAAAGACATTTAAAAGGAAAGGTTCTACCCAAACCTACAGAAGTTCAAAGAGGTGAGAGTATCTGAACAGCTACTCTCCAAGACAAAGCCATATATCAGGCACCACGAAGGAAAATCATTTTTAGATTGGACCATGAATAAACAATGACATTTAGTCCCCGGCTGGATACTGGTGTGAAAAATGGATCTGACTGTGCAGCAAGGCTGAATCAAGCTTTGTTAATGTAACAAAATATTTATTACATGTCATGAAAGATGCATCACCCACCTCAAATGCGTCAGAATGAAATATCTTATCTTTGACATTAAAGGTCCTACTACATTTGCAACTGTGACCTGGAGCAGTTGTTATCTAATCGTATCTAAAGATCCAGTATAAACAGCTGTAACTAGTAATAATACTGCAGAAGCCAAAAGATACTTTTTGTTATCGAATCCAAATAAGAGTTGGAAGTTTAAGTATTCAACAGCGGTCCTTACCCACGTTTGAAGCTCGCACTTAGTATGGATCCCCACTGCTCTTTGTTTAGAGCCAAATGCCAAACAAGAACTTTAAAAAAATGAAATAACTAAGTTCAGACATCTTCTGGGAATGTGGCCGTTTTCAGCAACCTGGAAGGTCTTTAGACCCTTATAGTATGCTGAGAAATAAAACGGTGAAACTTTACGGGTTTACAGGTCCATATCATTTATCCAATAAGGTTTCCTGGAAGGAATAATGTGATTTGGTTATTCAGTCACCAGCAGTTTGTTTCAGTTGAACATTCTGTTATTTTTTTTACTCTTGTGTACTTTATGTTTTTGAGCTAGAGTTTAGCAGTCTGTCTAGAGAAACAGAACAGGAGTAGAATGGACATTCCCTTTCAAATCATCGCAGCAGAATTGCCGTTGCGACCGTTGTAGCGGGCTTCTCTGTATAAACTAAACCAACTTAGAGTGGATATCTTGAAGATTTTCATTGAGATACATGTCTGTTAAGCCACTGTTTATCACTGGAGGAGGTACCTCAATGGTGATGGGGCTTATTGGCCACTTTGCTGTATTGCAAACTCGGTGTCTGTGGCAACTTTCCCTTGAGAAAATGCTGTACTACATTTTTTCCACACACACATAAAAATTAAACTATGCACACAATTCTTAAAAATAGCACGACATTATAGAATTTGAGACTTTCCGAGTGAAAAATCCAACTTCAGGAGGCGTTCCAGGTGAAATTTCCAACTGAGAACTTGGAAATTCCTCCTTCCCAGTTCAAATGGATCGCAGCATAAGGCAAATCGCGGATAAGCTGGCTAATTCCACTATGCTTTAATGCTAAGCTGGTTACAGAAAATGAGCTGAACAATGGGCTGGTGGCCGGCGGCAGCGCTGGGTCTAAAGCTCCCTCCGCCTCACTTTCCACCACTCCTGAGAAGGACTAGCTACCTAGCTAACTAGCCAGCCACACGTCTCCAATGCTTCTTCCCAGCGAGCTGGGATAACAGTCTAGGGCCCCACTGATGGACAACAAACGCCATTTTCTTTTGCACTAATCAAATGACCGCGGGAAACTGTTCCATGTCCGTGCTACTTCGATTCTATTTAAGTCTTTTTGTTGATAAATGAGCTTCAAGTTTTCAGAATTGTCTATATAATGGAGAAAAACTCGAGTACAGCATGTTTTCCAGGAGTGTCGCCGCAGACACCCAGTTTGTAAAACTGCAAATATTGCAAAACTTTCATCAGTCGGCCATAGTCTCCATCACCATTGTGTTACCTCCTCCGGTGACGGTGACTCAACAGACATTTATTTCAATGAAAATCTCCGAGATTGCCACTTTAAGCTCTTTACTGAAGACTATTATGGTTTAAGTCATTGTAAGTAAAAATGACACCTGGCCCCAGCTTCTCAATTGTGAGAATGTGTTACTTTATTGTTGCCTTGTCAAGAAAATAAACGGCAGACTAATACAGTTAGTTGCAGCTCTAATGTTACTACTGAGTGAAATATCAAAGATTCCCTGTATTTTTTTTTAAGGCTGCATCGTTTCATCAAATTATAGATGTCTTGTGAATCTCATTTAATTTACATTTCCCCCATAATTCAGTCAAATAAAGTCACAGTCAGTTGGGGTTTCAGAGGTTTACTTACTGAGAAGTGAAACGGTTGCAAACGTTGAGCCTTCCTTCATGCTGTTCTTGGTGCTGATGTATCTCATTATTGTGTGTGGCGGGTCTGTGGTGTTCCCTCTCCAGGCCTGCAGGGGGCGACAGAGCGCGCTGCTGCTACATTTTAAGAACCAGAAGAAGAAGAAACCTTGTGAGCAGCAGCAGCGGCAGCACTGAAAAACATGGCGATACCCGTGAAAGCAGCCCGTCTATGTCGACTGGCAGGACGAACTGTCCCCTCTTTGTCAGTCACACACAGGCCGAGGAGATGCTACTTGTCCACCTCGACGGGGAACAGTGAGTGGATGTTTTGTAAAAGATAATAAGAATCGTTTGTTAGCTTCTGAGCTGCAGCTCAGAGGTCAGTGTCCCAGCAGGCAAAGCACAGCTACTGACAGCAAATGACTAATGTTTGTTATTGTTCTGGACCGTTCCTGTTGTAACTGGTCCTTCCTGTCACAACAACAAGCTCGATAAATGGGTTGTAAAGAAGTAACAGTCAACACGTCTTCTTGGCAAAACAAATAGCAAACAAAAGTGAAGGAAGTCGAGGAAACGTTGAGCTTTCCTCTGGTGGATACACTTGTCAAATTGTTTTAAACAGACCCATAACTTTGTTTAGATGCTAATAACACGAAAAATGAGGCTTCCATTAAATCTCAAACTGAAAGTCATTGACAAAACATTTTTCTATTCTTATTCTCTGTAGATCTCCAGTTCAGGCTCGATGAGCTGACGGCTCACAGCAGTCTGGACCTCTTCAAGAAAAACACTGCCGTCATCTACCGCATGCTGGGTCTGGACCCCACCCAAGTGCCAAGCAACCCAGAGCGCTTCCGAGACTGGGCCGTCGTGTTTGGCGATGAGAAGATCAGCGGCGGGCGCCACTACTGGGAGGTGACGGTGAAAAAGTCTCAAGAGTTTCGCCTGGGTGTGGCCGAGGCGCTGATGTCCAGAGAGGACTGTGTGGGCACCAACAGCTCCTCCTGGGTATTTGGCTATGCCCAGCGCAAGTGGTTTGCTATGACCAGCAACAAGATAGTCCCCGTGGCGCTGGTGGGAAAGCCAGAACGCATAGGCATCCTGCTGGACTACGAAGCGGGCCTTCTGGAGCTGATGGACGTCGAAAAACACGCAATCATTTACAGCATCAGGGCCCAGTTCAAGACTACCCTCTGCCCCGCATTTGGACTTTGGGACGGGGAGCTGCTCACACACTCTGGTCTGGAGGAGCCCGAAGGCCTGAAGTGAAGCAGGATGAACTGTGATGGTGATGAGCTTGGTACAGTAGCAACGTTTATCACAACAGTACAGGAAAAGAAGCAATATCTATGTAGGAGTCATTTGCAGCTAATTACAGGTGGTGGGTCATTTCCGTGGTCCAGTTGGTTCATAATTATGACAATGCAAGTTCATACTTTATGTATGTCATCCAGCCTCATGCGATCACATCACAGAAGCTGCATTTGTGTGTACCTCATGTATTACCTCTCAGAGTAGCTGACATGAAAAGGGTGTGTGGTTATTTTTGAGAGGAAGATTTAACTGTGAAGTTTGTTCTGGTATTACAGTTAGAAAGCTTTTTCAGTCTCATGCTCATACTGTATATTGTTCAATAAAATAACTTCACTGAAACTGCTTTTACGTTTCTCTTTTATTTACACCAGAATGATACATATTTACAGTGACAGACTAATGTACAGTTTAGGAATCATTTCACTGCCTTTCACTGAGTTAAATGAAATACAACACAATTCATAAAATGCATTTGAGATTGAAGAATATTACATTTTTTTTATCACATGACTGAGTTGACTTACTTGTGTCGTGAGTTTCTCAGTACTGCAAACTAACAATTCAAAAGCTTTAATTAAAAAAAGTACCACTTCAAAGACATCTGTGTGTCAGGTTTGCAACATTCATTTGCATAAACTTTATTATATATTTTGTGTTGGAATAACCCAGATGTGCACAGTTCCCAGTGCCTGAGACAGACAGATGTCTCTGTGATACACAAGTGACCAATAAAAAGCTAAAAAGAAAACTACATCAACACGAGGTCTCTGCAGTGAATAAACTGGCCTGTGAGCTAAATGAACTGGCATAAACTACAATGAAACAGTCCTTTCAGCGTTAAAGTCACAAGTGCTACTGAATCACCTGTTGAGTTAGATTAATTAATGAAGCAGCTTTGGGAATATTTACACAGGGCATAAAATCCCCTGATTAAATGAAGTATTGATTAAGCAAAATATATTTCCATATTTTAACAATACGTAGGCTCAATATATTAGATATTTACATCACATTTTATGTCATAAACTGAGCACACAAAAAACTGTTCATTAATATTGCAACAAAAGTCTTATTATATATATAAGTATCTTATATAAGTATTATTTTCTCCACATAAAACAACAGATTGCCTGATTATATAGTGCTTTGTTGATACTTTACACTGTTGAATAATGTCTGCAGGAATACATCAAAGAGGGACTTAATCCCGCACTGAATAGCTTTTCAACAGTCTAAATATATTATATAACATCTATTACCATATCAAAAATAAACATAGTCATTTATCAGGTTTCTCAATCGTCCCGTGTCCCTTTTAGTCCTCTCATAATAAAATAGATTAATTTCCATTACAAACCCTTGTGATCCCTTGTGGTTTAGACGATGCTCTTCAACGTGTCCAGCGGGGTCTTCTGCTCCTCTGTGGCACAAGCTGCGCTGCTGTCAGTGTACTCACGCTGGTACTCTTGCAGGACTGAAACAACACCATCATGGCCAAACTGCATGGCATCATCTAGAGGTATGTTCCCCCATCTGATAGAAAACACAATGTTGTATGTTATATGGAACATTTTTAATCCAAGAATACGTTTTTGATTTAAAATCTCTACCTGTCTTTCATGTTGGGATTCACTTTACATACTTCAGTTAGGAAGATAACGGCTTCCGCATGACCTGAAAGACGAATGTGAGCAAGCCCAATGCCGTATTTCATTTGTTCTCGTTTGAATATCACAGCAGAGATTGTTGAACGTAGAATGAATGAACTAACAATGAAGTGTCACCTTCCGCAGCAGCAACGTGGAGCGCTGTGCGAGAGTCATAGTCTCTCTGCTCCATGTTCACAGCTGAAAGGGCAAACCTGGAGGGACACATGGAAAGGTTGACTCGAGTGATGGCAAACTCTCCGAAACTAGTCAAGAAGAATATTCCAACATTTTGGGGAATACGCTTTTTTGCTTTCTTGCAAAGAGTTCCCACTCTCTCTCGTCTGTATTTAGTTGTTAGCGGACATTACTCCAGTTGCTCCTGGCTCCAGCTTCATAATTAACAGACGGATGATATTATCATATATATTATTGTATACTCTGGTGTCGGAGCTTTGTGATGAGAAATGAAAGGCAGTGTTTCTGATGTTACTTACCTCCTCAGAGCAGAGAGGTCACCACTGTAGGCTGCAAACATCACGTTTACCACTGACTTGTTCTAATGGATCAAAAGGCAAACATTACTGCATGAGAGTTGACTGTTTCTTAAACTTTTATATAAAAATTATTCTGCATTATTCCTAAATCGGCCCGAGAAGTATTCATAGTATTCATCATCCTTTTTCACACATAGTTCCTGGTAAATTCCTGGGATAACCTGCTAGAAACCTAACCTGACAGTACAGCTGATGGTGAGAATGCAACACTTACTGCCATAAAACTCAAAAGGAGAAGAAGATGGAGCAAGGACGGAGGTTCGTGTCCGTGACGGAAATGCCTCTTTAACTTTTTCAGGGACATGGGCGGGCGGGCAGGGAGCTGTTTTTGTCCGGTGCCAATGTTCTTGTAATGCATTAAATATTCAACAAGTTTGCTAGACAAGGGGAAGCATTGGCGAAAATGCAAACCGTAAACAAGTCGCAGATTGAAATACGCTATCAGTGGAGTATGTGGTTGGTTTGCTCCATGAGCCCATGCTTTATATGTTCCAGGACATTTCAGGAATAGACTGCATGTTTCCTACTAGTCTGAATGACGGTTGCAGCCTCCACACTTGTTACACAGAACTTACGGGTTCTTCATCTGATCTTCTCCTGGGGTCGTGCTTCTTGGTGAAGTGTCTCAGGTTGTCGTAATTGTGGAAGTTGAAATGAGACAACAGCTCCTAGTGAATCAAAAGTTGATTGAATTGTAATATTTGAAGCATGCAGACACATTTTAAGATGAATTTCAATAAAACTGTGGTGGCGACTGCATACCTGACAGAAGTGAATGCCACGAACACTGTTTCCAAGCCGATCTAAAGGTGGAGACCAGCACATCATACCCATGACGTTGGGGACAACCAGCAGAACAGCACCCGAAATGCCAGATTTAGCAGGCAAGCCCACCTGAACAAGAGGAGCAAACAAAAACTCTCAACCTGGATTCAATGTTTCAAGTCGTGCCACCACTCGGAGGAACAGGATCCAAGGGGACTCACGTGGAAGGCAAACTGTCCGGAGAAGTCGTACATGCCGCAGGAATGCATGAGGCTCAGGGTGTTGCGAACGGCTTCAGAGCTCAGCACACGCTCGCCTGTGATTGGACAAATACCCCCGTTGGCCAGTGTGGCAGCCATGACACTGCCTGACTCACAGGTCACCTCGATGGAGCACAACTGGAAAAAAATTATAAGGAATGCTGACTTCTGGGAAATACACTTGTTTGCTTTATTTCCAACAGTTGGCTGGTTAGCTTAGCTTAGCATAAAGACTGGAAGCAGGGGGAAACAGCTAGCCTGGAAAATTACCATGCTATTCCTGTAGCTTCATATTCATCATACAGACATGAGAGTGGTGTCGATCTTCTCATTTAACTCTCGAGAAAGAGAATAGACTTATTTTCAAAAACAACGAACCTTTCTTTGAAAAGTACTAGTACTATGATGTCAAAGACAAAGAGTTTTACCTGAAAGTAGAAGTCGAGGGCTGCTGTCATATCTGCATTGTCAGGAAAGCACTACAAGGATTAAAATCAAGAGTCAGCACATAATCAGGATATTTAATGTCAATAAAAACCTGAGCAATGAACAAGCACTTAAGGTGATAAGGTTAATTAAACATAAAACATAAAAAACTCACTTTTTTCTCTTTGAGGTAATAACCAATTGCATAATTCCTATCACCCGTGTCCCTCTCCGACTGGAAACTGCAAGAAGACAACAGGAATTTAGAAAGTTGCATTTCACGTGACACGGGACACTAAGGTTGCATTTCTTGAAGCGCGGTACTCACGTTGCATTGCTAAAGCCCACATATTCTGTACCAGACAGCCTTTTCAAGTACTCCATTACCTGCAATCACATCATATTTACAAACGGTGGAGCAGGATGACCAAACACATACGTGAAAGCAAGAAAAAGTTTGAAAATTTAGAATAAAAAGCATTTACTCACATAGTCAAACCTCTCTGCCTTATTTGAATCTGGCTGTCAACAGAGAGGGGAGAAACAGAAAGGGATTATAACTCAATTGTAAAGCTGAAGAATAGGGACCCTAGTCACATTCCTATTTAATGACTCTACCTATAAATGTTAATGATGATATCAAATAATACTGTGAGTTGAGAGGGTGACTCAGGCTAAACATCATGCCCAAAACAGGAGTTGATTCCCTTCTTTCCAGGTCGTTGCTCTCTGGTGCCCTGACAACTAGTTATTCAACAAAACATATACATTTGTGTCAATTCAACTTTTGTAGGTACAGCTGCTCAGAAAGTCAATAACGGCTTTTATCAGCTTTGTATTTTCTCTGTCCTGTGCGTAAACTATCAAGCGTTTAAGTGTGTAACCTCCTCAGTGTGTATACATATGAATTCTTTGCAATTATAGGAACACACTGTGTAACCCCTCTACATACACACACAAACACAAGCGAGGGGGGTTAACACACATTCTGTTCTGAGGGCTGCAATTGGCCAGAAACACACGCTGCCCACACACAGTGTCCCTTCCTGAACCTGACATATGATAAAAAAGTCCAGAGTTTCTCTTCAGACAGCTGGGAAACGTCAGGAAAACTCCACAGAGAAAAAAAACACAACCATATATGGCTAAACTCCGCTTACAACAAGGCCAAAGTTCACAGATATGTCAGTCTGATCAGTCAGATGGTGATGACCATAGTCCAGCCGCGATGGACACCAACTTACCAGCCAATAGAATGATTAGATAGAGTATGATGTCACTGATTGCTTCAGCTTTGCAAATAGTGGCAGTGTTATGTTTCACTATCATTTGTGTCAGCAAATTTCAAATACATTTGTGAGTCGCAAGTAAAGCATTTGCTACGATGACTGAAATTTGTCAAAATATACACGAGAGGAAGTGATCTCGTGTCGGGCATCGCAGCTTTCATTTAGCAAATTTGGTGAAATGGGCCCTTACTGCCTACTGAGGATGCAGCTAAGAGCAACGTGAGAGCATCATGTACTGACCTCTTTTATTGGTGGAACATAGAAACATGTCTGATGCCTGATATGATTGTCCTTTTGAACTGTGTTTACGCCCAGTGAGGGGCTGCAGCAGAACGCTATGCTGCCTAGTAATAATTGAAGGGGAATAACACAAGGTCGGGGTTTAAAAACAGAGAG